CCCCCCCACCCCAAATTAAGATCCAATTTGACGATCATGGAAAATGAAGTGTACTTATATTGCGCTTTATCGACGCCATATGCTGTTCAAAGCACTTTTCCAAGCATCATATTCACTAAAAAAAATAAAATTGTAAAAACCAATACTGTATGTGGCCGTCATGCCAACATACCGAAAGGTTTTCCTTTTTAGTTTACAGTACTTTACTTTAACCTCCACGATCCCTCCTCATACACTAGCTCGTGGCAGACACCAGGGTGTTGTTTCACTATGTTTGAAGTTTGAAATCCATTTGTGTTCTGTGATACCAGCTAGCTAGCGCTAAGCTAACCTGGGAGGATTCGTCTCCCCAGTCCAGCGCCCATGTTTGCGAACTCCCTTTTTTGCTAAGATGGTGTCAGAGGCCAATAGGGAAGTAACGTTGACACACTGCCTGAATGGGATTTATTGACTGATTGTTTAACAGTTTCATAAAATGCTTAATAGCCGGCTAAACATTCCCATACATGTACAAACATTTCTGAATTTTGCTGCGTATGATGTGGCATTACCATTCTAATATTCCTGTGAGACGAATGCTGATTCATTCTCACTCAAATTCAAATTCAGAATTGGGTTGTAACGGCAAATTCACTTATCAGTTTGAGTCACCACAGATTCACGCACAGCCCTAGGGTACAGTAATTTGCCATTAAACGACTCCCTCCCTCCATATATGTGTGTGTGTGTGTGTGTGTGTATATATATGTTTTACACTAGCCCAGGGGCGTCACTAGGTTTCAAGAACAAGGGGGGCTTAGCCCCAAGGGGAACACAGCCCCTTTAGGAGGGTCCGGGGGCATGCCCCCCGGGAGAATTTTTTTCAACATTCTGTTCAAAATCCATCAATTCCGTGCACTTTGAGAGCAAAATGAAGAGGCTATGAAGAACTACACACATCACATTAGTATCCTCTTTACTATGATGGGGCTTCCTCCCCTGGACTTTAACTGGACTAGATAATAGAAATTATAAAGAGTTCAAAAGTGCCATCTTGGTTGTTCAAGGGAATTAGAAAGTTGCCCGATGACATAACCTATATGACAGTAGGCCTATATTACTCTCTACCAAAATGTATTAATATATGCTTAGCCCCCAGAAGACTATGTATTTTGAGATGTCTGCCGTGATATGCAATTTAAGTTAGTACAATGAGATGCAAAAGCTTCATCACTTTGGAAAAACACAAGTTTGCTGCTCAATACTTACTGTAAGCTCCGATTGCATTTTGGGAACAGCCTTGCAAGTAAAATTAGCCTTGAGATCTGATAGACTCACCTGTCCAGCAGAGCCCCGTCTTTAGCCTGATTCCTATCAAATAAATAAATTTAGTTATTTTATATTTATTTATTTATTTTATTTAGGCCAAAATCTCAATAGGTGTTGCCTCAAAGAGTTGGTGTCATGATTATTTAGGTATTTAATAATAAAATGTTGCTTAATTTTTATGAAGCACCACCTTAATTTATCCAAAAGTGAACACTTGTTACAGTGCAGTTTCTGCTGTTTCTGGAGATATTTTTGTGGACTATAGTCACTAGTTTTACCAGCATGGATGCATTGAATACTTAATTTACCTTTCTAAAAAACTGTTGAATATCCATGCTGTCGACTCAACCTGACTTTCGGCAATGAACTGTCAGTTGTTGCGTTAGCATTTGATGTGGAGATGGTGACAGACACGTCAAATGCTAACGCAACACCTGTTGCGTTCAGGAATCCTGGGAGATTAATATTACAATAATGGCAGGTTATCGAAATATTATTTAAAATGGCCACATTACATTGAATTTGATGCAATATATTAGCAAAAGTACAGGAAAAATAAATAATACTTTTTTTTAAATAATGCAATGAAATTATTTAGGGGGGCTAAAGACATTTTTAGGGAGGCTGAAGCCTCCCTAAAATAGGCCTAATGACGCCCATGCACTAGCCCGTCCTAATAGTTCGAACTTTCCCTAAACTATGATCCCAAAACATTTTAAGAGAAATTTATAAGTATTTCTGACCCTTTTCTCATCTTTGGAAGACAACAGCAGAATTTGCATCCGTCCACTGAAGCCTTTTGGAAGCGTTTGGAATGAATTTATGTTTTTTTGCACCGGTTGACATTCCACCGCGCACAAATGCTTTTTTAATTTGGACTGCCCTTGGTTCTTCTTCCCGGGCCCCAGCGTGGGTTCCGGGGCTGGGTGAGTGCCAAATTGTCAGAGCGGCATCCTGCATTGTCAAGGTTATGAGAGAGCAGCAGAGTAGAGCCATTGAGAAAATGCAAGCGCAATACACAAAGAAAGCAGACGAAGAGCTGAAAAAGTATAAGAAGGCCGCTGAGATGGAGATGAGAATCCAGCGAGGATGGCATCATCCTCATCCTTAAGGCGCATGCTATTCAAAGCGCCGTAATCGACGTCATTAATTAAAAAGCTGATGGGACGGCGTTAAGGCCTTCGCCGCTCGTCGCTTCAGAGAAAAGAACTATGGCCGCCCTTCCTGCCATGAATCTCTATTAGCCGCTAATGATGCTGCTCTGACGTCTTCGCCGTCGTGGGTGTGAAATTGGCAAGCGTTAATTATTCACCCAGAAATCTGTACTGCGAACGCGATAGCGTCGACGCTCTCAGGCCCGTTGTCGTATCTCAAGAAGAAAGGAGACGGCACTTATAGTAAGTCCGCATACATCAACTGGATGCATTATCTCACTTTCTTCGGTTCACTCAAAATGTTAAATGAAAGCATATGCCATATCATATATACTCTGTTCAGAAAACAAAACAAAACTGAGATATGTTCAGCTTTTAAGCGCAATTTCCGGATCCTCTCATAACTTGTTAAACTGTCCAATCTTTCATTTCTATTTCCACAATTTGCTGTGCTGTGTAACAAGGAGCCGGATGTGAAAAATCACAACAGGTGTTTGAAGTATCAAATATTTCAAAGGACACTCCCGACTGGATCGAAATTCCACAATATAGCAATACTTATTTTACCTTTTTTTTTTTTTTTTTAACCCAAATGATTAGCCTACCCGTTGTAAAATTACAAAAGTCATGTTGGAATGTTACAGAAAAACTGTTTAAAATGAATGAAACGAGTTGCTTTGAAAATATGTGAAAGGTCTTTCATTTTTTTTGGGCCATTTCTTCTGCTCTTACAGCCCGTTTTTTTTTGTGGATGACTCTTGACGATGACTTCATTAATCTTTATTCCTGTCTTTTTTTTCTCTCTTTCCCTTTTCATGCCGACATGTAGAAGTGGAGCAAAAAGGTAACTAAATGCCAACAATTGTCTTGTTTTTTCACCTCTCTCCAACTCTTGGCGCATGGTGATGGGATTCATTTTATTTATGTATTTATTTTGATTTTATTACATCTGGGATTTCATTGTGCGTTGGTGGTGTGCATGAAAAAAAAAATGCCATTCACGGGGCAAATCCGCCGACTGCTTATCTGAGCTCAACCTTATCAGCTGCATACTATTAAAGCTACAGCTTTATAAGGGTGATCAATAGCTTGTCCAATAAGCTGTCAGCATTTTTTTGATTATAGCCCTAACATGATGATGGCTATAACCTTCAGGGACTCGCTAATCAATAGCGGAGACAGATCATAGTCGCCATATTCATCCCTTATCAGCAGAAACGGCTTGAAAGAAGCACATAGCGGGTAAACAAAATTCCTATGAATGGCATCATTGTGTGCTATCGTTCCAGATCCGTCTTACGGTGTGTGTTTTCTTAAAGGGCCCTCGCCTCTTTCTTTACAAAGCAGCCCGAAATGTGTCAAATTGAATAAGTCCCCCGGGCAACTAATGAATTGTGGCTTGAACAAAATCTGTAGGACGAGTTCAACTCCTGGAGATGGCAAAAGTAGAACACTGGACGATACATCTTATTTCTTTTGCGCTTTCACAACAGCTTCAGCTGTAACAAAGTGCTTTACAGAACATTTCACATCAAATAACAGTGTCACATAAAACATCAGCAAGTGTTGAAAATCGATTATTTTCACAGCACATGGGAGTGTGACAGGATGGGAAAGCCGCCAAACTGTTGGTATTTGGATCATAATGACATACAATCTAATACTTGGATCTTAGTTTTAGCAAAGGGAATCACTACTTAGGGCGGCGGCGTCAAACTCATTTTTGTTGCGGGCCACATTATAGTTACCATTTCCCTTGGAAGGATCCGTTATGATTGTGAAACCATATCAAGAAGTCAAGGATAATGATTGATTGAACTATTAAGTTCCTGCACAAAAGGGTTTGGCAACAAGAAAATGCTGACAGTATCTCTCTTATTATATACGAGAAGTTGAAATTTTAATACAGATTTTAGCAATCATTGTAGAAGTTGACATGTTTGATTTGCTTTCGGGGCCACATAAAATGATGTGGTGGGCCAGATACGGCCCCCGGGCCTTCAGTTTAACACCTGTTACTTAGGGGGATCACCGTTTTTCCAGAGGGTCCTTCAAAGATGATTTTGTCCATCCCACAATGTGTCTGTTGGTTGCCTATAGTGCTGAATTAACATGTATGCAAATGAAGTCGAGGCGTCCGAATTTGAGAACCACCGAAGCAGAGATTGGAAGCCAGACCCACTCGTCCAGTGGTGCACATGGTAGTTACAGTATGTTTAACTGTTGCAAGATTTATGAGGGTTCCTAAAAAATTCATCCCTGGCGCCGGCGCCAAAATGTTTTGATACCCGCCGCAAAAGAATATGGACGGGTGGTTGGGTGAATAGGTGATCCCGCTACCGTTACCTGCCAATGTAACTCCGTACTTGTTTTTCCCCGATTTTGGCTCCTCAGTATTCCTGTGCCCAGGGCTTCTGCGCAGGGTATTCCAGAGCGAGCACCTCTTCGAATCGGATCACCAGTCCGGAGCGTGGTGCAAGGACCCCCTCCAGGCCTCCGATAAGATCTACTACATGCCGTGGACGCCCTACCGCACAGACACGTTGACAGAATACTCCTCGAAGGAGGATTTTGTCGCCGGTAGGCCGACGACGACCTATAAGCTCCCGCACCGTGTGGACGGCACGGGCTTCGTGGTGTACGACGGCGCGCTGTTCTTCAACAAGGAGCGCACGCGCAACATCGTCAAGTTCGACCTGCGGACTCGCATCAAGAGCGGCGAGGCCATCATCGCCAACGCCAACTACCACGACACCTCGCCGTACCGCTGGGGTGGGAAATCCGACATTGACCTGGCGGTGGACGAGAACGGCCTGTGGGTCATTTACGCCACCGAGCAGAACAACGGCCGCATGGTCATCAGCCAGCTCAACCCGTACACGTTGCGCGTCGAGGGCACGTGGGACACGGCGTACGACAAACGCTCGGCGTCCAACGCCTTCATGATCTGCGGGGTCCTCTACGTTGTCAAGTCGGTGTACGAGGACGACGACAACGAGGCCACGGGGAACAAGATCGACTACATCTACAACACGGAGCTGAGCAAAGACGGCTTCCTTGACATCCCGTTTCCCAACTCCTATCAATACATCGCTGCCGTGGATTATAATCCCAGAGACAATCTGCTTTACGTTTGGAACAATTACCACGTGGTCAAGTACTCCCTAGACTTCGGCGTGCTGGACAACCGCCTCGGTAAGTCTACTTTTGGAATTTTGTCTCACTGTGGGGCCAAGCTCATAGGGAAAAAAGCTTGGACACAATACGGTGGTACCTCTACTTATGAAATTAATTGGTTCTGGAAGAAATTTCTTAACGAGAGAATGTTGTAAATAGAGACGCGTTTTCCATCTAAATGCCCTAATTCGTTCCAATGTGTAATATGTTGCGTTCAGGAAATTCGGAGCTGCAAGTAGCAGCACAGGCTGTATTTTTACTTTTCGTATCTTGAAATTTCTTTCGTAACAAGAGGCAATATTTTCCTGTTGAGACATTTCGTAACTTCAAAATTTCGTACAAAGAGACGTTCGTAAGTAGAGGTACCACAATATTGTACAGTGACTCTCCACACTTCATTTTCAGGAATATTTGATTGCTGTGCTGCTGTTTTGGTTCGCAATCGAGTTCAGATTGTGGTTCAGCATAGAATGCCGCCGCAAAGATAACGACAAATAACTTTGTCACGACTTTCGTCTTGTCCTTTCAGCGGTCACTTGTGTGATTTGTTTGGCACAGTTTTTATGCTCGGCGCCCTTCCTGACACAACATTGCTTCTTCACGAAGGCTTGGGACTCACCATGCACGAACCAGCAATACTAAAAGTAGTTCATTCTGTCGACTGACTGACTGAAGAAATTAAGATGATCTCAAGTTGATCATAATTGTTTTTTTTTTTTTGTTTTTGTGGACAGAAACCACATCCCACAGAAACCGCCGTCACGTTTCAAAAACACTGCGTGCCTTCCATTGTTAGTATTCCAATTTTGTAACTGTCAAATTGACATATCCACGCACAAAAACACCATCTTGAATGGGTTGCTCGTAAACAGAACAGTGGGGCCTTTTTTTAAAAAAAAAAAAAATGCTCCTCTCGTCGATCATTTCGCTACCTGCTGCTTTCGAGCTCCCTCCGACAGATTTTTTTTCCCCTCTCCCTGATGCACGACGTCCTACTGCGATAATCAATTCATATATTCTGTGACCGCGCTAACAGGGCGTTTGCTTTGGCCGACACACAGCCGGCCGTAATATAATTTGTTGTGCTTAATAAGAGGGAGCTTGTGTGTTTCTCCTTTTATTGGATACGAGTCGCTGTGCAAAATCGCCGGCCCTCCATACGAGCGGCATGAATAGCGGTAGTAAAACGTCACTGCTCGTGGACAGATGGAGCACAAATTGAAATGCGGGGGTAACAAAAAATCGGGAGAGTACATGAAAAAAAACACCCCTCCAGAGTCATAAAGCAGCTGCTTCATCATCTTCCTGACCATGCATGTTAACGTCACATTTTCTTGCCGAGAACAAAATGGACACACTTTTGTTGGCCTGAGCGTCTATTTGAGGGAGGTGTTGATTTTCTCATATGTCACACAAAGATTATTCTAATTATTATTATTTTTTTGCAGTTGTCATTCTGAAGCACTAAACCTTTACCTTAACCATAACCCAACCTAAAATAAAACCAACCCCCAAATTGAACCCTTATTTTATCTTAACCCTAAACCATAATCCGATTCTAACCCAATCCTAAACCCACACCAAAAACCAAACCCCATTTTAACCTGAAGCTGAATCCTCACCTTATCGCCGTAAACAGAACGGGTAATATTCTAGGAAAGATTCCCCCCTGACCTTTCAATGTGACAATGAATCCATTATAGCACGTTTTTAGTGCGCGAGCTACCCTGTAAATCGGGAACGAGCTCCAGTGTATTTGGACTGCGGGAACATTTGAATGTGAATTGAATTCCGAGGGCCAGTGTGCATCAACATTTCTGTTGTGTTGTAAATATGCAAGAGCAAGAAAAATGCCTTATGAAGTTACTTTGGCAGAGTCGTTAAAGAGCAGTAACAAAAACCTTTTATTTTGTTATTTTATTGTTTCCCTCTGTCCTCGTCTTTCACATATTATAGCTTTTACTGACTTTTATTGGTTCAGTGTAATATTTTTACAGCAGCCAGTTATTTAGCGCACAATAAATGGATGCTTTTTAATCTGCTGGGATATCATGGGGGGTGGAAAGCCACCACTTATTTATAGAACACTGCTTTTCTGCAACTTTTTTAATTTTGTGGATTGCGTCTTGCCCTCTTTGCGTATTTCTAGCGTGTAAGGTGGCAGTTAGCGTCAAAAACAGGCGAGCGGAACTATTTCAAGCATACAATGTCATATTGGTGGGCACTTTGAATTCTTTTTAGATGTCGTTCTATTGCAAAAAAGTAGGGCTGGGTATTGGAAGAACCTCACGATTTGATTGGATTTTGATTCCTCATGTTGCGATTCAGGGGTGGCCTGATGCGTGGGTTTTCTCCGGGTACTCCGGTTTCCTCCCACATGCCAAAACATGCATGGCAGGTTAATGCAACACTCAAAATTGTCCTTAGGTGTGACTGTGAGCACGGATGGTTGTTCGTCTCTGTGTACCCTGCGATTGGCTGTCAAGCGGTTCAGGGTGTCCCCCCCGCCTCCTGCCCAAAGACGGCTGGGATAGATCATTCGTTCTGATATCGATTCGGTGAGATAAATCGACTTATTTTCATGCCCATGCGAGCATGTGCGATGTCACTTCATTTCTAAGGATTGATTGATTAATCGATATTCCTACCATCCATAGCACGGTAAAAATGCTCTGTTTTTGCTCACGGTTATCATACCACCAGACTGTGATACTGGGCTACGCTTTGCAGTCATTATTATTAATAATACTGGCCAACAAATTTTTCCTACATTTTCAAATCACAGATCGAAGTCAAGTTTTTTCGATTTTTTTTTTTTTTGCAAATCTGCCCTTGTTTATTTTTCTCACATCAGCTTTTCATACTACGAGTACCACTACTACTAGTACCACTACTACTACTACTCCTACTACTACTACTAATAATATGTAATCTAGCCATAGAGTTATGAATTATGAGTTTATGAATTCAGAGTTCAGGGGAATTTTTTGACAAGGCATGGTGGAATCCATTTCGGGACACAGGAAGCCATCTTTGATTCAAATTTGCGGTTGCCCAGCGTAAGTGGCCCGAGGCATAATTCACATTCATCTCATGACATGTACAAAGTACACGTGACCGCGCATGCATTGGATCCTTTTGTGACTCTGTATTGTTTCTAATCTTCTGTTGACTTTTCATTTCTGTTGCATAAGACGTCTTGAATAACTCGGCCCATTTTGGGAGCTCTTGGTATATTTCTGAATGAATCCCAAAGCTGTTTGGCCAATATGCGACCCAACGTGCGGGTCCAAGATGGTTGCATACAGTCCGTGTCAGAGATTCATTCACTGTCTGGCCTTTTTTGTACGTTTGCCACATGTTGCCATCTGGCAGCGGCCTCACGCCAGACGCCGTGCCCCGCAGGCTCTTGGAGGGGAAAGCGTGCCCGAAACACTCCATGTTTTGGCTCGGGTGCCCACTAAACTGATTAAGAGCGTCTAAGCGATAAACGCGGGTCTTGGCAAGAGCGTGTTTGAGAGATAATCGGCGCGCGACTCGAGTGCTCTGATGTTGTTCGGTGGGTTCCGTCGTTGCAGACCCTCAAGAGTGGCCCCCACACGCCCACCCACGCGACTACATTTTTTTTATATTTTTTTATTGAAACATCAATAAAGAGCTGATGCCAGTGGAGGCCTCTTGTTTTGGTTTTAGGGCTTAGCGATGTAGGCTACTCGCTCATTTGCACATCACATTCATGCCTCGCCCGTAATAAATGCCTGGTTCTCACTGCAGTTGGGCATATAAATACCCCTAGCCTCTATATGAAAACATATCAGACTATATTTGTAAAATAGTATCAAAAACTATATTTTTGTAGTATATAAATCTGTTCCTATAAATAAAGGCATCACACTCAATTGACAACTCACCCCGAATAGAAGGTTTGCCCTAACTGTAGTTACTATATGAGGGCAGAATAGAATAAAAAAAAAAACACATTTTCACAGAAATAAAGACATCCACCTTATTAAATGCCTTGCCCTGAATAGCTCCTCACCACTAATAGTTCCACCTGCATTGGAGTGAATACACCACCCCGGGACACTAAATATAAATAAAATAATATTTTAGTACAATTAAGCTTGTATTAATCATTGCTTTGACATCAATAAACTCCTTATCTTTTCGAACCCTCGCCCGCCATGAGGTTGAGTCTATAAACATCCCCCTATATGGGGACATCTACTCTCTGTATAAATAAAGGACCTCCACCTAAATTAATACCTCACCCCTAACATACATTTTGCCCCTCCTTAAAGCTGACTAAATAAATCTCTCTTGGGCACTATATGAGAACATCTTAATGCTGTGTTTTTGCAAAGATATTGCAACTTTGTTGGCCCAAATAAAGGCATCCGCCTCAATAAACACCTTGCCCCGAGTAGAAGATGACTAAATGAACATCCCTGGCCCATATATGAGGAAATACGTTCATGATATTTAGAATGAGTACTAAATTAGGTTTGGCCTCCACCTCTATAAACACCATGCCCCCAATATACGCTTTCACTTTAATTCCCATTCTATCTACATAGAAACCACAACGTACATGAAACAACGCTCTCACCACAAGAGGGTTCGGTATCTAGGAATCGCTACGATTTGTCATGCTCGTGCGGCAGCTGCGCGCTCTTCTCTCCCTCGCCGCCTGACCTCCATTAAATGCCCTCTCAAGTCCCGGGACGAGAGCTCGGGAATGAGAAATTAATTGGCAAACAATGCATGGCTCCCCTCCATTATGGCTCTCATCATGTTAGATGATATCGGAGCATTACCGGATGTCTGGCTGCATAATTGAGCTGCCGCCTGTGTGGCAACTGATGGATAGCAACGCAATGAAATAATAACAATAATCTATACGCTTGGCATCAGGGCAGTCTGATTGCGCGCTGACGAAGCGCAGTGATCCACAGGCCGTGCCGTGAAAATCTTTGCAACCTCTTGACTGATCTTCCTTTAGGGCTCGGGCTGTTGAATATATTTTAGAACAATTATATGTCCCTTTTAATTTGTCAACTCTGCAAGTAATTGCATCAAACTGTATTTTGTGCACTACCGATACAAATTATGCATGTGGGGTGCAGGTATTATTTTTGGTTAGGTAGTACACTGCAGTACTGTGATTTTGAAAGCGTGTGGTCTTCAAAAGTGGAGCCTGGTGAGTGACGTGGGTGTCAGCGAATGAGAGTGTCGAGTTGGCTGTCTTTCGCTCCGGTTAGACACTGACTTGCCGTCTGTTGTGGCCATCGGCAGCTCGCGGATGAATGTGCTCAAGTGTTCATTTTGTTACCGTTTGTTCAACAAAGCAATTGAAAGTGCACCAGTGGCTCCGTCTGTCCTTGACCACATGTGGAGAGGCTACAACTCGTTCTAACTAGGGGCGGTAGGCTACATTACATTAGCTCTCAATTTTTGCGTAATTGCGTTGGCTCACAGATGTGCTTTTTCCGCAAGTCAGTTCTGCTTTACAGTCGGCACATTGCACTTTTTAAATGTAAAACGACTGTAAACTGATTCCATACTTTGGACGTTCTGTGTCTTTTACGCACTCCCTGCTCCTCATTGTTGTTTATCGCGACACGAGGACAGGGCAAGTTAACTTAAACACCAGCAATATCTTAAAACTAGCGTATCTATCCTTTCTATACTCAATAGGTTGTCATACCCTATTGAGATTTACAGGTGGTGGAGAGAGGATGCTTAAAATAGGACCTGGAAAAGCCTCAGTGTCCAGAAAAGTCATAGCACCCATTCAGAAGAACAATATTAATTAAACAAATATAAACATTTTGGGTAACATTAGCCATCAGATGTCATCGTGAAAGAACGCCATGTTAGGGTATTTAGGTGCTATCAAATGCCAAAACAGGTCCAATTTGAATTGAGCAGTATGTTTGGGTTACAGTGTATGGCTATAGCATCTTTCATGGGAGCAAAGGCTGCTTAATGGAATTTGAAGTAGTAATTAAAAATCTGTGTGTGTGTGTGTGTGTGTGTGTGTGTGTGTGTGTGTGTGTGTGTGTGTGTGTGTGTTTTGCTGTTTCCCAAATACACAGTATGCATTGGTGAACAGATGGTGCTTGAAGAGTTCCTTAAAAATGTCCAGGGAAACAGCACGATGGATTTTATTACCATTGTGGATCTCTGCTCTTCTAACTTTGGAGTGCGAGCCAAGTGAAAAAATAGAAACCGAGATCGCCTTATGCAGACGTTCAACAGGGAAAAGCAAAATAAATAAATAAATAGAAAAGGTTAATGGATGACATCACACATCGACTAGCCAGTCTTCTCCGGTGTGTTTGAAAGTGTCGATTGCAGGTGCAACTACGCATAAAGGTTGCAATACTCAAATGAGGGGGTAATTGGGTTCGGCACAAGACTGGAAAAAGTCACTTTCCCCGTCTTAATTTCTCACTAGCCCGAAAGCCCTTTTCGGGCCTCGTTTGATCTGCGAAACTTTCGACGAGTCACACGTAGCGGATCCGTTTGGTAATGCCTCCTCTTGCTCCCAGAGCCGAGTGGAGCCGGCTTATCTAATTGCACGAGCCAAGGGGCTTGGGATCGCGAGCGGCGGGGCTAATTATCTCGCTTTGAAATGAAGTGCAAAGCTCCGTGTGGGGGCGGGTGATGAAGCTCATTTATTTGTGTGTTGTTTTTTTTTTTTTTTTAATTATTGTTCTTTTAAATGTTGCCGTTAAAGCAAAGTAGAAATGATCAGAGGACTCTCAATGACACAATTAGCCAGCATGTGGAGCCTTTTTATCCAAACTCCATTGTGGAGCCTGGTCGAGCTTAACTTTGTCATGATTATTGCAAAATTCACATTTCAATTTTTCCCCATTCCCCTCTGGGAAGAACGTGCAGAATCCTTTAAGTGTATATTTTCTTTGATTTTCTTGTGATGCATTAAGGAATAGAGCTGCCATTTTTGATACACCCATTTTCATAGCACTATTCATAAATAAACAACAATGTGTCAATGCCATTGCCAAGCGAGAATAACAAGAATTTGGGGAGTTGGGGGGGGGGGGCATGCCAATGTCTTGTTGAATCTCTACTTAATGATAAGGGCTCATGTTCGTCGACAATAAATAGATCTTCAGCAAAGCAAACGCTATTATATATCATCCACCCCCAAAATGAGTTTCAGCTTATGCCCTCGTCGTTTTCGGGCTTCTACGAGAAGGACAAAACGGCTTCCGGTTTCATTTATTCTAATTTCCATTTATTTACTTAATGCCAACTAGCTGATTGATTACTCTTGTTCTTAATGACTATTGCTTATTTGCACATCTTTGTGTTGCACTTTTTTGATGGTAATATGCCGAATTAAGTAGAAATCAGTGCAATAATAACACATGCCATCATCATCATCATCATGGCTCCATGACTCCACAGTAACATATCATTATTTTTTTTTTGGGGGGGGGGTGATTCCTGCATGATGTTTGACTTTTTTAAATTGTGATGGCATTTTTTGAAGTGATACAATCTGTCCATCCTGCATCCGCTCCAATACTTGAATTCCCCGATCCCAAGCGGCTCATGAAACCACCTCCGGTTTCTCAGCACTTGTTGCCTTCACTGACCTCAGGTGAACAAGTCAGCCATCAATAGTGGCCTTTTTTATTTGCTATTTGAGTCATCGTTATGTACATTTTGCTGCGTTTGGTGCAACCCTGTTCCTGATTTACAGATAAATAAAAAAGTTAAAAAGAAAAACTTTGATATCACCGGGGCGACGGGGTCGTGTTACCTTGAGGTACACGCTGCATGACGGCGAAACAAATATGAATCATAGAAGTGAGCACTTTGCTTTGCTGTCACCGTGTTCAATGCAAATGCTGCATCTTGATTATGTCATTTCTGCTGAGTCACTCTTTTTTTTTCCCCCCCCTCATCCTTTCGATGGCTAAAAAGGTTTTAGCCAGAAGGCTGCTTGTATATTGAGAGACACAAGTTCAGAGCATAATTGTGATTTAATACATACATCAGAATTTGTTTTAGGAATTACAAAGACAGCATACCAACAAAATCACCCCCTCTCCCCATAAAAGCTGATTTAAGATCATTTTATCCATTAAATTTGAGATTTAGGTTGGTCATCAAGAGGGAGCTTAAAAAGAAACAAATCCAATAACCATTCGGTGTTTTAAATTATATTTATCAATTTTACATTTTCTACAGCTCCGGTTACATTTTGTCTCAGGACATTTCTAATTATCAAGCATTTTTTTCCCCACTCTATTTTCTGCATGGATTCTTTGAAATTTCATTTCAATGTCCTCCATTTCTGCAATGACCCATTTCCAGTATGCGAGCGCCGCCGGCTCATTTCAATTACGACCAAATTGACGCTGCTATTTACCGAGAGCCGGATGCGCTCTGTTTGAGGTCGTCATCACTCCTCCTCAAATGTAAATGCGCAACGGCCATTCATGAATAATGTACTTATTGCAGAGACGGTGGAGGTGGGGGGCGCACTCGCCAGCGAGATAGATGCTTGTGGAATCTGCGCGCTGATGTCGTCCACGATGTTAAATGTTTGGGCTTTTTTATTAACGTCCTAGTGATGGGTGGGACTGTCAAACTCCCTGTGGGATGATGGAGCTTCTTTGTGTTTGTGGGTTCCTTTTATGTTTGCTCGGCATGTGCAATGCTCGGGTGAATCTTGCTCGGCTGGTAGAATTTCATCTTCAATGTGAACGGAAGCTCTTCATTCGAGAGATGTTGACGAACATATCTGAAGCTAATACGACACTCGTTAGCTGCTACGTGCTACTTGTGAGCCCAACTGTGGTGTTATGTGTTGTCATTAGCATTAAAGATTGCTTTTTTTAAATTACATCAGTATATCAGCGATGCAGATACGAATGAATTCATAGTACAACATTATGTAATCAAGTCCATGATCAGCTGCACTGCATTTTTTTTTTTTGAGACACGTTTCGATGAGTTTGCAGTGCCTGTGCACATTTGTCGGCATTTACCAGGATGGCAGTTCGTCTCAGGTAAACAACCTCATTAGCCAGCACCTCCTGGAGTGGCCATCACATCTGGGAAATTGGGGTCCTGCTTTGTCTCGTGTCTGGAGGTCCGCAAATAGCAGCATTCCAACATGTCTTTTGACAACACAGCTGGAAGTGTGTTAGCTATGCCAGTGGGGGTCCGCGAAAAGCCCACCAGTTCGGCTCACGCGTCATATTATATATCGGTCGACCCCGCCTTGAGCGCTGAATTGGATTGTCAATGTCGCCGCCATGTTGGATGTGGCAAAGTGGAGTGATGGGTGGAGTTGTCGCATTCATTTGCCGCTTTTGCAACAGTTTTTCACGCCCCTTCTTGAGACTGTTCAAAATACAGTCTGAGAATCAATGCTCCAACGCATTGTACATTTATTTATTTATTTTTTTGGGTATCCATGGTAAGTTTTCCCAAAACCAGATCTGTTCTTGACAAAGCATCCAGCACTACCTCTAATGAAAACACTAAACTCAGTTGTAGATGTTCACGAGGGAAGCCGGAGAAAGTCTCTTCGGAGGTTTGCACTGGAACACAGCACCCATGAAAGTTTTGTGTCTGTTTTCCAAATATATTCAAGAATGGGAGGCATTAACTTTGCGCACGTTGTCGCAGTTTTGAAGCTCAGTCAATTGAGTTGCATACATTTGCAGGGTAGATCTGCCATTTCCAAGATATGAACCACTCACGGTGATGTCCAAGTATACTTAATGTCTATGGTGTGTAAATACATGATTTTGACCCCACCCCAACCCCAAATCCCAATCCAGAGACTTCATCCTCCGTAATGGTCTATATGGACACGACAACCACCACCACGAGGACCACCACTCGTCCCACCACCACCACCACCGTCACCTTCACAGCAGCCCGGACGGGCACCAACAAATTGGTCACCACCACTACCACCACCTCTTCAACGGGTGCACCGGGCCCCCCGCGGGCCCAAACGCCAGTGGGACGCCTGGGTACGGGAGACGACGAACGGTTGCCACCTTCCTCCAGGCTTCCCAACGTCAGGGTGGAGTACTGTAATCCTCTGGTCATGTTCGACATTTCTTGGCCCAAGACTGGACAGGGAGTGGTTGCCAAGATGCCCTGTCCTCCTGGGACCATAGGTGATGTTTGTTTTCTCCTATACACATCATCTAAATATATAGAAATATACTGGATGATAATATATGGCTTGTACTGAAACAAAAGCTAGCTAGCACATGCTACGGTGATGGTCAGCACATAACTTGAGCACTTGTTCGGCTAATTCTTCGGAATTCAAGATAACATTTAGCTAATTGTTATCTAGCTAGCTAGTGGGGTCTGATGCGGTGATGTCAGTTAAGAAAATTGTAGTTCTCAGACATTGTCTGACCGCTCGTAATTCATCATGAATTTGAGGAAAATGTTAGCGAGTGAGCTTGTCAGCTGGCTAGTTAGTCAGTCGCGGATGCCACGGCGTTAGTCAAGCGTAAGTGCGGTTGTTTTCCTGGGCACGTCGCACGATATGCATCTGCATGTTGAAGTAAGACCAATTTCATCCAAGGTAAACTTTAAAAAACAATGTCTCAATGTCAGTCAGGTCATGTGGCTCCAAAAAGTGAGAATACGACAGTCGCATCCATGATAACAGGGAGGGGCAGAGGGTCGCCGTGTCCCAACATACTGAGAAAGGAGCCAAGGCCATATTGTCCCCCCGCAGGTTTTTCTCCAGACGACCAGACGACACACACACACACACACACACACACACACGCACACACACACACACACACACACACACACACACACACACACACACACACACACACACACTCTCTCTCTTATCTCATGAAGCCATCAAACATAAGTCTGTCTAAGGTGGACAGGGCAAGGAAATTATATGTCAATCAAAATGGATGGGTTGGTGCGCCTCATCTGAGTCGAGCAGCCGAGCCCGGAGCGGCCAAGTACGAACAAGGACACACAAGACTCGGCTTGCTTTGTTTTCTTCTTCCTGTTTTACTTTGTCATTTGAATTTATTGATGTGCAAGCAGTTAAAACTGTGATGCATTTGCATGACTTGGTTAGTTCATAATTGATCTTTCGGTTCACAAAAAAAAAAAAAAAAGGACCATTGTCTGGGGGAAAAAAAGAAAGCTTAAACCTAATTGAACCAGAAGTAGACAAGATGAATGTTGTAGCGCTATAATTGATCCTTACTTATTTTCTTTTTGTTTGTTGGATGTTAATTTTTAATCTCCTTTTCTTTATTTTCACTTGTTTTTAGATGTTTTAAATTATATTGACTTTTTGTTTTTCAATTTCTTCTCTGTTTATTTCCTCGCCTTTTCCTTTTCTTCCTTGCTGGTCTTTGCTCTTTTTAATTTTTCTGTCCTTTTGACTTCTTTTTTCATAGACAGCGTTACGGCTCGGAATTTCTTTTTCTTTTCCCTCTTGCTGTTGTTCGACTTTCTTTGCTCTTTCTAAGTGGTTTTTTTGTTTCTTTTTTTTTTTCTTTATTTGCTGGTTTTTGTTTCCACATTGCAGTTCTCTTGTTTTCTTTTCTTTCTTTTTCCTTTTGCCCATTTCTCTTCTCTTCACTCGTCTCTTTTCTGATGACAGCACTGTGGCTTCCCAAGTTATTTTTCTCTTCCTTTTTTCTCTTCTGTTTTGTCTCTTCCTTCTTTTGCTCTTCTTTCTTTTCCTCCACTCTATTCTTTCTCTTTTTGAGTTGTCTCCTCTTTTCTCTTTTCTTTTTTTTTCTTTATGGTTTCATTTTCTCATCTATTAATTGGCTCCTTTTTTGTCTCTCTCCTTTTCCTCTTTCTCTTGTTTCTCTTCTCTTCTGTGTTTCTTTCGTGCACTCCAAAATCTCTTGTCTCAAGTGCCGGGGGTTTGATGAGGGTTTTGTTATGCCTTCTTCTCTCAGGCGTGGCCTCCTACTCGTGCGTGGGTCCTGAGGGCTACTGGGACCCTCAGGGGCCCAACTTCACCAACTGCACGTCCCCCTGGGTCAACATCATCAGCCAGAAGGTATCCAAACACCCTCAAGTCCTGTTGGCCCCCTTAAAAAAAAAAAAAAAAAAAAAATGCACCATGCAAATCAAAGATACTCCGAGGACCTTAAGATTTTCTCACTTTTTCTCCATTTAATGTTATTGATTAGCTGCAGGGATGTGGTAGCGTCAGAGTGGGCCAAATGATCACACTTGATCATTATCACCCTATTGCTGAATCAAATATGGCTAGGTCGGTATACGGGGGTCCCGCAAGGCAGAACATTAGGTACACTTACCCAATCTAACCAGAGGCAACGCAACAATGCTCGGAATATTCCAAACGTATCAAAAAACACAAAAAGTATGAGACCAAATGTTGAAGAAACAGCTCTTGGGCTTAACGTGTTTCTTTTCATTAAAAAGCCTGGAAAACAATTTTTGTTTTAATGAAAAGAAACACGAGACCAGTGTGTTAGGTGAAATGACCTTCAAGCAAACATTAGGCAAGGCCCCTCGCTTCTCATCTTTAAAACCCGTCTCAACACATTTTTATGCGTCGGCTTTTCGACTAAGCTTGACATTGTTTTCGTGTTTTATTGTGTGAAGTGTTCTGTTATTAATTGGTTTGAACCGCCTTGGTTTTTAGATGTCATTTTTTTTTATTTTACAGCACTTTGTATGCAGCTGCGGTTGTTTTTAAAGGGTTCCATCAGTAAAGCGGAGTTGAATTGAGAGTTCTAGTGCTGACTACTAAAGAACTAAAAAAAAAATAAAAAAAAACTGGAGAAAGAGTACCTTTGCCGCCTTTGCTGTCACGGAAAACAATATTTTGTGGGTCATGAAAGTTCAGTTAAAATGCTCCGAAACGGTAAGCAATAAGAGGAACTCTGCTTTGAAAATGGCTGCCAGTGGGTGACTTAATAAAGGTGCAGAATCCGCCCTAATCCTTGAGCTCACTCAAAGCAGATGTCGGTAAATTTAAAATGCATAGAAGCACCGAGAAACCGTTGGTCTTATAGCCCCTTCCTCCCTGGGGCGGCAACATTTTTGTATATTACTTTCATAAAGGCATAACACCATCAAGGGAGATCCCTCACTAATAGTTTGCAATTCCATAATTGCGTGCGATATTGCCCCCAGTGTACACGCGGCATTAACCGAGTTTACGGAAGCGGCGACTCCGCTCAACGCAAAGGCTAAACAGCATTCATTTGCGTTTTGTGTGTCGCCATTCGTCATCCGCAGCTGCCGCGAGGCAATAGGCCGTTCATTTGCCGCAGGTGGGAAGCCAAGGCGAGCTTGCCCGCCATCATCGCTCATTTGTTCCGCCGCTTGCCGTTTCAGCTGAAAGTGGGCGAGACGGCGGCGGTGATCGCCCGGGAGCTGGCCGAGCAGACCAAGAGCAACCTGCAGGCGGGGGACATCACGTTCACGGTGAGGGCCATGGTGCAGCTGGTGGATCTCCTCGACGTCCAGCTACGCAACCTCACGCCGGGTGGGAAGGACAGCGCGGCGCGGAGCCTCAACAAGGTATTCCGACTCTCAATGTCTGATCGTGTGGCGGTTCGCATCGCTGACAATGCCGCAGCTGGTGCGAGATCAATTCCATTGCCCCATTGATGACAAAGGGCATCCTCCTTATGAAGATCGGCTCTGTTCATCGCCGCCTTCATTGGTATTCACCTCAGAAGCAGCGGTGAAGTGATCCTATCCTCGGTCCACGCTCGCCATTGCGGCCCGTTTATCTCCTGCATTGATTGGTCGTAGAGCCCAGCCATAATTCCTGCGTAGCTGCTGAGCGGCCAAAAGCAAATTGCGATCGGCAGTGAAATTCAAATTGTCCGCCGTTAATTGGCTTCACTCAGAACAACACCTGTTCCGGACTCCAGACGCAGATGTCCCCATTGAGATTTTTAGCATCGGTGTAAGAGGGAGGCGGGAACGAGAATTTTTATAACACCCTTTTCTGATCAAGTCTCATTTTTCCTCTGTTGCTAATGTAATGATGAGCAAACAGCCCAAAAAGTCGATTGGCTTTTGAATGGCTTGGATTTATGCACTGGACATTTCATTGGCAAACCTATTTAGGGGATAGAAACACTCGCGCCTCAAGAGTTGTGAGTGTAAGTCAGTGGGGTGTCTGGCTGGCAACTTGGACTTGGTCTGTGAAGTTACTCCAGTTGCGGCATGACACGTAGTGATGAATTTCTTCCTCTAGCCCCGACATACTTGCCTTCTTCTGCTTACAATTGCCTTTTTGTCTGGTTGACAGTTGCAGAAGAGAGAGCGCTCGTGCCGTTTTTACGTGCAGGTATGTGGATTTTTTTCTTCCTTTCCTTTTTCATCCGTGCCATTGATCAATTTCACCCTCACGCTCTTCCAATGCTTGTTCGGTGTCATCTAGAGTATAAAGAAATGATGAAGTATGAATTTACGTGTGTAAAAGCTTTCTGTTGTGTGAAAGGCAAAAGGTGGATACAAAAGTCAATTGTACATTCTGCCCTCTAATGGAAGCTCATTTAATAGTTCTGCCTTTTGCCATTCATGACCGGCATCGATCGATGAACAATCGTTCCTGATTTGTGGCATGTAAATTGTATTTTACGACCATACATGTATCGGATGATCTCTCGTGACGTAGTCGTCGGGAATCGCTGCTCTCGTTACTTTTGCCAGGAAGTAATTTGTAATACGTTGTCGTCTCGTTCCTGACAGATTGTTGTACGTGTAGCTCGCAACATTATAAATTTGCTTTGGATGCCTGGAACAGTCCTTTGAATTCCCGTTCCAATTTCGTTTTGATTTCAAGTTGATTTCTGTCGAATTTGATTGAACTCCATTGATCTATTCACCCAACGGAAAGCTTTTAGCCACCAAAACCAAATGGACAACTTCAGTAAGTAAGACAAGGCCAAAGTCAGCTAAGGTCCTGGCATGTTATGATTGGTCCTGATACATAATGAATGAGTGTCCCAATTTTGGGAAGCCGCCTCGATCGCAACACTCAGCTACTTTGCAAGGCCTCTGGCAGAGTGTGATTTGTTCCCTCCGGGTGACATTTTTGCTGTCATCATTCTTTTTTTTTTCTTTTTTAGGAACCATGAAAAGTTAGTCGATCGTGGTTAAAGTTGTGCTCATAAATCATGAAAACAAAACTACAGTTTATCTGTCTTAGTCGTCTTTGGTAGGGTTTGTGTAGCTGCTTTGAATCAAACGGTTTTTGTTTTCAAGACATGCCAACCATATTTCACGTAGCTAAGTGAATGTGGCTCTGGGGTCTCAATTTTGTTTTTAGAGTTTTTTGATCGATAGCGAGCCATCAAACTTTGCCGCTTTGTGGGTCTACTCATGATAGACAAGTACAGCCAGTCTTACTCAGCAACATGAGATTTGGGGTTTGAATTTTGCTCGATCAAGAGTCAACCAAGCTCCACCCATCCATCAAAGCTCCCATTATCCGAAACCCCTTACCTTCATGAGGGTCGCGCGTGTGCCGGCGACGATCTCACCCGTCTTTGAGCAGTAGGCGGATCGCTGTACTGTGAGGCGTACGTGCTCAACAGTCGACCACCGTTGCCGCCCTCATCAAAGCTCCATTCTCCAAATTCATGTCGGAAGGGCCCCCCCTGGAAATGACCCTAAAATGGCCGCTTTGAATCAAAATGGCAGACATTCTGTTTATGTTCTCTGAGCTGGATCTTTGAGGCTTTTTTTGGAAGGTCTCCTCATAATAGAAATGCCTACCAAATTCCATGCAGCTGAGTGAAGCTGGCTTCAGGGGTTGAATTTTAAAACATTTCCAGTCGTTGAACGCTGCGTGTGATTTCTCAGGCCGTGTATCACAGCCAATTTAATCCCAGTGAACATGACGCTTTGACAACAGAGCACATAATGATCACCTCACCGTGTTGTGCGGGAAAGCGCCCTTTTGATTGCTAGCAAACGCGGTAAAAATGGCGCCCGGAGGATATATTAATGGTGTCCAATTACGGCGATTACGTCCGTCCATGTTTTAGCGAGCACCTCCGAAAGCTTTCTTCCGTTTAGTCGGCTTGACGGGAAGTTGAGGCTGCAGGCAAATTCCGCCACAGAAGATGAAAAACATCTCATGCCTTAGTAGGAACCAAGCGAGTGTGACTTTGTAGGACCCAGGGAGGATTTTGAAGCCCCTCATTAAAGCGACACCTTTGTTGGCGAGGATGACCAGGGGGAGTGTCACGGCGGGGCGGCGTGACCTTCCAGGGAGGCTCGATGATAAAAGAGCGTCTCCCCCCGCACCTCCCGCAACTCAATTTGTCGGAAGATGAAGATATCCTCGTAAACAGAAAGCTCATCTGGCCTGCAGTGCGAGAGTTCTGCCTGATTAATCGGAGTCTTAAAAGTAGGACTTTTTTTTTTTCTTCCCTCCCTTCGGTATGGCGTCACCGTTCATAACATATTTATTTGACTGTGGATTTTACACTCCATTAACATAGACTCGTTATCCAGTACATTAATGAAGATATTCACATGAGAGGCGTGGCGATCAGTCCACATGAAGCTCCTCCAGCGTTTTTTTTTTCCTCATCACTGCTTCGTTTCTTCGTCGCGGGCCAAATAAATCACCTTTTGTGAAGCCCGCAAAGCCATTTTTGCGTAGCAACAGCCAATTTAGTTGGCATTTGCGTTACTAGATCCACAAAAAAAGGGCCCACGCAGTAAAACAAACATCAGGTCGGCGATTTCAGTTTCAAGTGGTCATATTAAAGTAATTTGGGGCATTAAAAAAAGTTCAGCCCCAGAGCCAGTTTCACTTAGCAACATGAACTCAAGTAAGTGTGTCTATCATGATAAGAATAAGAATAAGAAAACCTTTATTTGTCTCACATGGAGAAATTGGCAAGACCCACACAAAAAAAAAAAAAAATCTCAAGGACCTATGATGTAACATGAGCTGGAAGTCTGCCACTTTAGTTTGAAGCAGCCACTTTAAAATTAATTTTGGCCATTTTGAGTGGACCTTTGAAAATAATTCTGCCCCCAAAGCTAGTGACAGGGACATATTGTTCATCATTCAGCATCACACGTCATGAATTTGATTTCATGAAAGCTTAACTGCGGATGGGATGATCAACAATGATTTCTCCGTCACAGAAAGGGGGGTTGGGGTGGGTGCGAGCTTGCGAAGGAGCACACGCATGCCCGCACGTGTGGCTACCTACCTTAATCGTATGGCCACCCCTCAGTGAGACATTGTGTCACCCTCACCACAGCACTAAAAGAGATTTGATTTCCATCATTGCATATGATCGAAGCACGGCGGTGAAATAGTCTAATTCGCCATAAAATTCATCGCATTGATCGAGACAGCAATATGTTGTAACCTGACCTTAATGACACCTGCATTGACGGCACACCGGCACGTCGTCGGGACGATAGCGTTTCCATTGTTGCCATGGCAACAAACCAGACAGCCTCTCTCGCAAAGCAACTCCGTAAAGGAGAACAGGTCAAAACGAGGCTCACGCGATGTCTAAGTTTACCCTCCCTTGTTTTGTCATCCTTTCAATCCCCGTCACTGAGAGAAATCGAGTGTGAGGATCCTGCCGTGGTGGTGGTGGTGGGGGTGTGGGGG